TTTCAAAAGGTGCTCTTCCTTAGCACTGTCTGTGCCATGGGTCAGGAACACTGGGACACTATTTCTCCAAGACCTTAAGGAGGGACACTATTTCAAGTGCCTTCAGGATCTATTTTTGCTTCTATAGCTTAACTGTTTCCTAACATATAAGACAGCAACAAGTAGAAAATAAATAGCATTTATTAGACTAACTCAACATTTCCATTTCATTTTTCCCCATTTCTTTCACATTTTCTAACCCTTCCCTACAGCTATTGCCTTTTCAGTCTGTTAAGCTTTCTTGCTTTCTCTGTATTCAACAGTATACGACAGCTGTTTTTTTGTGTGTTTTTTTGTTGGTGGTGGTTGGTTGGTTTTTAAGATATATTTTTCAGTGATGAGGTCCCAGCCACACAGCATGGGATGTCAGTTTGCAGCCTTAACAGACTAACCTGCCAGTAGGAATGTGGCTTTGGACAAGCCCATGGCCAGATTAATAAAACATAACATGCAACTATAACATCTTTATCCAGGATGGCTGTCTGCCACCACAGCAGAGAGCTGAAGCTCTGATGACAAATGCTCCAACCCTATAGCTCGGTATGAAAAGAAACCGTATTTTTCACCATCCACTGCAATTAACAATGATTGATTCATTATGTTAACAAAGTACTGTTTCTGTATACATGTCTTAGTGCACTGAATTATAATCAATGTATTAAAACATCTGCATTATTCCTTCTAATATTATTCTTGTTGCTGAAGAATTATTATTTTTTTTTAATCCAGAAATATAAATAAAATTGAGACCTTTCATTATTCCAACAAAGAAAATGGTACATTAAGTTAGTGGATATGATTTCCTTTACCAGTTCTATTAATAATCCCTGATGATAATAAAACTAAAAGGATAATAAAAAATGTTAAACACTTTCACTATGATTATATGCTGGTTACTATCTGCTTTATAATCAGTTTCATCTACTGTTTTGTGAAGCTGAAATACTGACAGTAATATAACGCATTAAATGATTGTTGATCTTTGTTTAAAACCTGGAAGCTGGTTTTAAATAAGCCCTAGCTTTAGCTAACTGACTTAAGTTAGACAAGTGGGTGTTTTTGAAACATCAGCCACCTTTTGGCTCATCCGCTTTTGGATCGATTTCCCAATTTTGGAGTAAGATTTCATATAGTTTTACAGGTCTATGGGAAGGAGGTAAGTACCCCTCTCTTCCTTCATGCCCTTGGCACTAACCACTTGATTTTAAGAGAGTTGAAGTCTGCGGCCAGCACTAAGGATTGGGAGTTACACTTCATGGCACAGCCTCTTGTATAAGCAGAAGTCAACGTCTCTTCCTTCTTCAGCACCTGAACAATTTTGGTGCTCACTAATACTGCATACATTTAGATTCATGCTGCTAGGATCGTATTGGTATACTGCTATTACTAGTGACAGCACTTGCAGGAACTACAGCTATTCTTAGTCAACACACATGGTAGAAACGATGTGCCACTTTCTTTTCTCTAATTAAGCATTTCACAACCCCTTTTGAACTGCATCTCTCCCTGCAGTTTGAGAAACACTGAACTAAATCAATTAACACTCCCTAAGGGTCCAGATTTAAGGTCTGAAACCCCAAACAACTTGAAAAGTCCCTTTAAAAAATCTCTTCGGTTTCCTCTTAATATGCAGTGAAGTGCAATGACTTCTCTGAAGAAAAGAAACAATTAAAATGACATTTATAACATACACTGGCAGAAGAAAAGAGACAACAATAACTTGAAACATGCTCGTAAAAGAAACTTGCTGACTAAGTCTAAACCGTAGAGAAAGCGTTAATGTAAAGCAGCCCTGCTTCCCCCCACCACATGATGCTCTGCACTGTTTTAACAAGAAATTTTAATTTGACATTGCTCCTGTAAATATTGCCCACTAGACCAGATTATACTTTGAACAGCATCGTACAACTGTTTGGTTTGCTTTCTTTGGTTGCGCAAAAGTAAAGATTCACATCTGCTAAAATTAAATCTGGAGGAAGAGACTGCACGGCCAAGTTTAATTATAAACTGTTCCTTTGTGTAGCACCAGTGTTTACCTCCAATGGTCAGGAAGTTCATCCCAGAGTTTAAAGAAGCCCTAGTTTCAGTACGTAACATTATTATACAAAACACAAATGGATTTGAATGGGTAGGCTAAAATAGTTATCATCCCCAAATATCCTTCTTGTGCCTCTCCTGGATGAATGAAAAGAAAGGTTAGGCACTGAGGCTGGCTCAGCAAAGCACTTTATTATATATTGTTAGTGCAAGCAAAGAGCCTCCCTAACTTAGTGAGACAAATTTTGTCTGCTTAACATTAAAACCATCATTGATGAGCCCAAGTCAACAATTACACAGAAACATAGTACAAAGCATCAACTAGAAAAGGTCTGTACATCAGCGTTCAGGTTGCCAGAAGTCATGCACCTGAAGGGGAGATATTCAACAAAGTTCACTAACATTTGCTGGGAAAAGAAGTACTCATGAGCTCTTCTCAGGCCTAACACCTTCCAATACACCAATGTCAATCACTGTGGCTTCACAATAACTATTTTGAAACTATCGTACTCTCTTCATTGCTAAGTAAAATATGCATATAAGCAGAAGGTGAACTGGGAATACTGTGCAACTGAGTATAAATAAATGCTTCCATGCATATACAAAAAGCAACCTTAAGGTACATATTTTTTGTAGTGTTTTCCATGGTATTTTTTTTGGTATTTGGAATAGTTTCAGTACACTGAAAGACAACAAGCTTGCATTATACTAGAGTGAGGTGATTTTTTTGCTTTGTTTTGGTTTTGTATTTTGTCTTTAATAATACACTCCTGTTCTTTTTAAACACTGATTTTCTTGCTGGTAAGAGATAAGAAAGGGAGGAAAATGGTAGAGCAGATCAAGTGTTTGGTGGTTTCAGAATGTGTATCGTAGGGTGCTTGAATGGGCAGATCCCACCTAGGAAGCAAGTACTGTACTCTTTGGCTGCAGTGCCTTGGCCAATGGGCAATTCATTTTTCTGCCTTCCTTTTCCTTGCTGCCCTTTATCATCTCAGGGAGCAAGCCATCTGAGGTACACATCATCTTCTCCACTAGAACTCTTCAATTTAATATATGTTTTAAGAGAAACAGATTGGGAAAAAGTTAGCATCAAGTTAACCAAAAGCAGAGCTGTGTGTTTACAAGTATGCAGTACACGACAGGTTTTTAAGGCTCATGCCCACATTTCTCCCATTCCCAACAACAGCAAACATGCAGATTTGTGTGTATGCATATGAAGAAGGGATGCATCTCTCCCATCTTCATCTCTTGTCATCATATCCATATTTGCCACGTCAGAAAGGCAAGGGGTGAGCTCCTTCCTTAATCCTCATTCCTCCTTTTCCCTCCAAATGAGGAGTTAAGTTGCTGTTAGCCTTCTCCCATTCAGCCTCAATTTCCCTCTTCTCTCTTCCCACAAAGTGGCATGAGGAAATTGGCCAACAACCCGGCTGGCCCTCAACGGCTGGCTAAGAAGAGGGGCACCCCACACAAATCAGCACTCCTTTTCCTTGTCCTCTATAAATCTTATATAACAAAGGTAAAATGAAGGTTCCAGGACAATAAGCTTGCATTTTAGATAAGGCATACGTTTCGGCTGGAGAGTCACTTTAAGGCCTTTTGTAAATTAAAAACAATCATTTTGCTATTATTTTGCTGCTGCTTGAAAGGAGACTGAAAACTATTAGATCCTTTTCATCCCCACCGTACTTGGTAGCAATGAGCTGTTGTTCATCATGACTAACATGCATCTTTCTCTGAACACAGTGTGCACAGTGTCTCTCATTTGTTATATAAGAGGGAAAAAAAGTAAAACATTCTTCACTCCAGAAGGCAAGAGATTTGTATCTGCACAGATATGCTTATTAAAAAATTCTAGCAAATGAAAATGGAAAAGCACAGTGGCTCTGGAAAGCAAACTACAAAGTACTAAATACTGGGCACCCACCACAGTGGGGTTAACTAGAAGTGAAACTGCACTGCACAAAGAAAGTAGGATCCTATTTCAGTAAAACATTTTCAGCATGAATTCAGATTTTCTCCTCTTCAATAGAGCTTCATAATGTTCTTGGTCCCCGGATACATTAGGGTCTAAACACACTATTAAATACTTGCAAGCTTTCCTTCACTCTGAATACTATTTACAGAAATAATTATTCTAAACAGGTAGCATTCTGTAAGATTTCAGTACATTATGGGTAAGTAGTTAAATTTTAAAGAGGTTGCTTTTTAATATTAATGCAAGTGCCACAAAAAAAAACAATCTCAGGGAAGTCCAGAACATAAAATGCAGCACTTGTATAACTTGAGCTCTTCCTCCTGTGCCCCCCTCCAAATTACCTACATGAAAGTTTAATTCATAAATTTTATTTTATTAATTTCTGTACACTGCCTCCAATCAGTCTCATCCTTGTGGCCACTGCAATAGAAATGACCAGGGAAACAGGGCAACCCATGAGAAGCCCACAAGGAACAGCAAAGACTCCCCTGCTCAAGTTCCAAAATCTGCACTTGCTGCAGCCATTCAGCATGATCATACTACAAATACATAGCACTGACTGTAAAAATTTGAGAAGACTTTCTGCCAATAGATAACAACATTACCACAATTTTACAGCTGAACAAACTAAGGCACAAAAGTGTTAAGTGGGTCACACAAGCAGTGAATGTATCATTTAAGCAGCTGTTTAAAAAGAAAAAGCAAATCCAAAAACGTGGCAGAACACATCAAAAATTATAAGCAGTAACACAGGAAAAGGGTTACACCCCTTATAAAAACACCTTATACTGCATATGTACTCACAGAAACGTGCGCATATAAACAAACATAATGCAGAGACAGACAGACACACAGAAGTACACGTGTATATATACACACATACATATGTACGTGTCCTGTCTCTCCCTATAGATGTACATAGGAGCACACATGCACAGGCACTTACTTGATCAATTTCCATCAACTTGGGGAAGGCACCTGGCCATTCGATCGCCACCTTCACTATATCAGCAGGAGGGGGCATTGCGACGCTGCTGTTCTTCGGAGCCAGTACAACTGGACACTAAATACTGCAGAGAGCCTCTCTCATTCACACCTGCAGGGAAAAGGGAAAAAAAAAAGAAAAGACACAGCAGCTCAGACAGAACTCTACCACTGCTGCTTCATTTCCTACATTTTGCCTGGCTGGGCAGGTGCATGAAAACATCTGTGTATACGGATGTGCAAGAGCACAAGAATCACACATATTACAAAAGCAAACAGAGGACACAATGCCAGGACACACTGCACAGCCAGACAGCCTGTTCAAAAGATGGCTGAAGCACTGAAATGTACGGTGAATAATAGGCATGCATTAAATTTAAATAGACAAACTATTTTTAAATATTATTAAATATGCTATTGGGGTAAAGCGACAAACTAGAGGAAGCTCCTATTACGGTGTCACTCCTTGAGTCCCAGGGAACGTGATCGCATCGGTTACAGCTCGTGCTCCAGAAGAAGAGATTGCCCAGGAAGTTATGGCCAGGAAACACTGTTTCTTTTAACTATAGCAGTGATCTTCTGAGTGTTCACAAATAGATCACTGCACTATAGCAACCAGGATGTCAGGAAGAAGGCAGAACACAGCATTTTCCACATATACATACACACACACACATCCTCACCTAAGTAAGTCAAAGATACCGTAATATAAATACCTCTTTATGGTAAATCTCAGACAAGAATATACAAGGATACAGTATACATCAATAATGATACCAGACAGCTACATAAAACATTCACAGTTCTGCAAGAACATGAATGTCAACACGATCGTATGTCAAATAGCACAGGCTGTGAATTTTGGAGAATAGGAAAGCAGAACAGGCAAATCCTCAGGCTTTGCAGAATTTAAGTTCTGTCTCTTTTTGGCTCACTGAAGTTTGTAACCTTGCAACAACAATATGTATTTTGCAGAGAGGAGCAGTGCATCTCTGAGCTTGCAAGCAAACCTTCCTTACCCCTCTCCCAGCTCAGCAGCAGGACCGCCACTGAATTAGCAAAGCTCTGCAATTGTCAGGCACAGCACCTTGTGCAGACAGCAACATGCTCACTTGCTTTGCAGAGCCCTCCATTTAGACTGTGGCATTTCCCACACCTTCTCCTGAGACCTAACTGAGCACTACCACATTGGGCAAAATGAAAGAAACGGCAGAAATCCCCAGAGGTGCAGCCCCCTTCTTCTTAGAAGAAAAGAAAAGGAAGTGGTGAAAGCATGGACACGTTCTCGTATATACACCCTTCAGAAGAGCTAAGGCAAGGGATAAGTTGACAGAACATACCAGACAGACATCCAAAAGCCACAAACAAGTACAGGAAATGAAACAAAAAAAGTCTCTAACCACCTTCCACTGCTGCTTCATCTTAACCCAGACTAACCATGAACTCTTCTCCAACTACAGCAGAAACAAACTTGGAGCAGCCTGAGCAAAACCATGAAACCATGCTTTCATCTAGAAATTTTGTACCTCCATCTTCCACTGCTTACAAGCTGGCCCTGCCTTCATGCATATGGCTCTATCTAACCCCCAACATGTGTCTTCTGGTCTAGTCTGCAGAGGCCCAGCCCTCCTCAACCTCCAGCCCTGCTACATTCTATGTGGAGCTCTCAACAGATATATGTATATATATATATATATATATTTGTAAAATTATGAACTTCAATGCTGCAGCAATTTATTTTCAACAATGGCAGCTCTGATGCTGACAACATCACACATCATCACAAAGCAAAGTGCAAGGCAATAAATAAGATAATGGATGGTCTCTAAATAAGACTATATTGCAGGAAACGCCTTGAAAGGCAGAACAACCTCATCAAGAAACACAGTGACAATGTCTGCATTGGTACACGCACAGAAGCTCCTGCTAGATATTAAAGGGACCGGGATTAAACACAATTAAAGCAATTGACTGGCTTGCTGGTGATTAAGAATGGTCAGGTATTCACTGCTGATTGCAGCTTCTCCATTAGAGCCCAAATAATACAAAGCCCCCATCACCTCTCCCCTAACATCCCTTGCTCCCACTGTTTGCATCTTGTGTGAGTGCTCCCCTGGCTGTGTAGCATGCTGACTCAATTCATCCTAACTAGCAAAATAACAGTAATTATAATTTTGGTTGCCTGCTTTTTGCCATGTTTTCCAGTCAAACAGCTTCCCAGGGATGGCCCAACTTGGCAGGGAAGAAGCAAGACCTGTGCAGTGAGCAGTGAGCTGTTAATCCACTTCTACAGTAAAATGAAACTGAGACCTTCGCGCCTTTTTGCTGACACGCTTACAATGACGGCATTTCCCACCTCCACAGCAGAAAAGTCCTCGGTAGTTTCAGTCTGGTGGTTTGGTGTTAAACTGTCTGCAATGATTCAGCCGAGCTGGCTGCCAAGGTACCTGAGAGACCTCTCCCTGCATGTCCTGGAAAACACGGGGTTCCCTGGCAGGAAAGACACTGGACATTCCCCCTAGGGGGTTAGCTAACATAAAGCTCGCTGTAAATGCTGGAAGAAATGCTTTGATTCACAACTACTAGCCATGACTGTGAAAGCAAAACAACAGCACACAACAATACATTTGCAGAAAACTTCCACACTCACATGCAAATGTGGGCACTAGCCCTCATTTTCCTCTACCGAGTTGTGGTCCATCTTAACAAGTCCTGCAGAAAGGAGGCAAATGGTTTAAGAAACAACAGTCGAGAAAAGCAGACTGTAAGTTAATCACATTCAGCTATGGAAAATGATCATTTGCATTCCAAAGCATGGTGCTAGAGAACTCTGTCACAACGTTCGGAAGGCAATTTCAGTGTGTCTAGTTTTTAATGCAGGCTAGCACTAAAAATCCCCTACATAATTATAATTAATATATGCATGCTTATACAGTTACAAAAGACAAAGCAAAGCGATAGATCTTTAACCAATACAAATGGAGGTAATTCAACTTCTCCCACTAGGAGAAGGCCACCTCAGAAGCATCTGTGTACTCTGAATGCTGAAAAGCATATACAGAATTGTCACTACAAACTTCTTTCCTTTCTGTTTCTTGGTGGATGTCCTAGTCACATGTGCTCAGACTTTTTTCCTAGCTATTAGTCTTACAATTTCCACACAGAATCTGAAAGGTAATAGAATCTGAAAGGTAATGTGGTTTTGTTCTACCTATGTGTCAATGCCAGAAACATACATGTATATACATATATATATATATTTTTTTTAAGTCAAAATAGATATTCATTTGTCATCACAAAATTATGATTGCAAAGAAAATTCTGCAACCTACAGTGCAGAAAATTATGAATTACCTACTACTTATTCCACTGCTATACTGTGTTAGGCACTGCCCAATACAAAAAGGAAGGCACAGTCCCTGGTGACAATTTTTTTTACTAAACTGGAATCAATTCACATGACATGAATGAAGAACCAGAACCAAGTTCAACTGCGTTTTGTTATGCAGCCGTCAAACAACAAAAGGACAAGGGCATCACTGAAGGGTTAGTTACGTATTTTTCTCGAGTACAATTCCCTTCTCTCTCCAAGTGGGATCTGAGAAGCATTGCTCATTTTTACAACATTCATCTTCAAGTTAAAACCTAAAGGCAATACAATGTATGTGTGCATACAACTGTATGCGGTAGAGGAGAGGTCTGAGGGAAAAGAGGGCACCTATCATTCGCCTCAGTGCATGCATGCAGCTGTAACCTGGAAGAGGTTTAAGCAACTTCCACACTCAGCAGCACACTATTTTATAATTTCAAGGAGGAGAAAAAAAAACAAAAAACAAACAAAAAAGAAACACCACAACCAAAAGATCCGTACTGCTTTACCATGCCTTCTTACACAAATATATTTTTCATAACTATGACAGATTAGTCCTTTAAAGTGCAAATTCTGCAAGTTATTATTACCAGCTACAGTATATTCCTGCATCTCAACTACATTCTGCAGTACTTCCAGTTGTTTACTAAGTCAAAGTAGTAAACACTCATGTTGGAAATCAAGGCATGTTAAATTTAATGCAAAAAAATGCATCAGCACACACACGCCAGCTCTCACTTTACCTACCCGGGTCTGAAGGATTAATTCACTACACATGTCAATAAAACTTATTTACCTTTCCCCGTCTATCTATGCCTTGCATGTGGAGACCAGGATTTTATTCGAGTATGAAATTAGCTTTCTCAGAAGAACATGCTTTGTCTTAAACTTGCTTTGCCATTTCCCTGGCACATCCCATACAAGGATCCAAGTGCTTTAATACTTACAGCTATTGGAGTACGTCTCCAAAGAAACAAACTGTATTCTTACTCTATGGACATGAGAAAAAATGAAGGCTACGAGGAGTTACGTGACTAGAAGTTTTAGTCGTGTGTGAAAATAGCAGCCTACAACAGCTCATTTCTTCTTTTACAGAAAAGAAAAAATGCGACATTCAAACACGGAGCCAGGTCACTTGATGAACAGCAGAAGTAGGGAAGCAGATGATTTAAAAACAACTAGAGGAACACCACATGCATTCGGGAATGTAATAAAATGAAGCATGTGTTTCTCCTCTCAGATAAAAGGTAGCATCTGGAGGGATGACCCGAAGCCTGCCCTCCCCGCCGGCAGGCAGGTTGCCCCACACTGCTCCCTCTGTGCCGTGAGGCAGCTCCACGGAGGCGGCTGATGGCCGAATGCTGCCTGGCCGTGTCCGAACCCACTGCACAGAAACCCAGCACTCGCGCTCCTCCCAGGCCTTTACATAACCGTGTCCTGTCAGACCTCGTCAGCCTCCTCCGCTGCGCTCCGGCAGCCCCACCCAACAGGAACCAAGTGGCAAGCTCTTTCAAAAGGTCCCCCAGGGACCACGTCTGATTAACCATTTTAGAAAGGTAATCCAGCACTAAATTAATACCCCCAAGAGAGTTATTTTTGGAGTTAGCCTGCATGACTGAGCAGCCGAGCCTAAGGAGCTCTAAATACACTCTGCCATTTCTGCAAGGACTGAAAACAAGGCACAGGAGCCAGGGGGCTGGATGTGCACTTCATATACATAAAAAAGCTTTCATGCTGGCTTC